TGGGGTGGGTGTGGATGTCACACCTGTACTCACACCCACACACCCACACCCACGCCCACACCCACACCCACACCCACACCCACACCCACACCCACACCCACACCCACACCCACACCCACACCTACACCTACACCCACACCCACACCCACACCCACACCCACACCCCGGACTCAGAAGGAATCACAGCTGAAATGCTGCTAGCTGGGGGCGAGCAACTGGGTGTGGGTGTGGGTGTGGGTGTGGGTGTGGGTGTGGGTGTGCATGAAGTTTCTCTTCACCGGCACCCACACCCACACTAGTGTCCTGCGGGAACGACTTTTTCTGATTCCCATTCCCTATTCTCATTCCCTAAAAAAAAATTTTTGTTCCCATTTCCTTTTTCCCATTCCCTAAAAAAAATTTTTTGTTCCCATTCCCATAATTCCCATAAGGTTTTCTAAGGCTCTGTTCATCTATGCGAAAGTGTCATTGGCATATATGTATACCAGTTTCTCGCGACATCACGTTTTGCGCATCGCGACGCTGTTACATAGTGCTTCACTTCTTTTCTTTTTCTGTTTTGTTGTTCTTGTTGGCATTGGTTAAGCAGGTGTTCCTGCGTATATGCACTATACATATACATTCAATCTGGTGTCCCTTTTCATTAAAAAAGTGTTCCACCGTCTAATTAGAAAATGTATAGTCTACATAGTGTTCATCATATAGAGAGAATGTTCCCCTTATAGTAAAGTGTTCCCTTCTCCTCACCCAAATAGAAAATTAAAAAAATTATAAATAAATATTGAGATTATTTATTGATAAATCATTTGTTTTTTGTTGTAAATAACCTTAATATTTATTTATAATTTTTTTTTATTTTCTATTTGGGGGTAGGGAGGGAAACACTTTACCGTAAGAGGAATATTCTCTCTATATGATGAACACTATGTAGACTATACATTTTCTTATTAGACGATGGAACACTTTTTTAATGAAAAGGAACACCAGCTTGAATGTATAGTGCATATATGAAGGAACACCTGCTTAACCAATGCCCATATTTGTTATTTTTCTGTTAATTGTATATGAATAAAAAAAGTTATTGAAAATAAATAGTTATCAGATAGAAATATTTTTATGTGTATTGAAATAAGATAGAAAGAATTTTGGGAACGTCAATTTTTAATTCTGTTCCCATTCCCGTGTTCCCATTCCCTAAGTCTAAATGGGAATTCCCATTTCCATGGGAATGGGAAAGTTAGGGAAAAAAGTCGTTCCCGCAGGACACTAACCCACACCCACACGCGCACCCACACCCACACCGCCACCCCACACCCACACCCACCCACACCCTGCAGACACTGCAACCGAAGCAGTCAGTGTCAGTGTCATCAGTGTGCCGGTGAACGCCAGTGTGACTTTATCGGTGATCAGTATACTGAAACTGGACATCCCTACCCACACCCACACCCACACCCGCACCCACACCCACACCCACACCCACACCCGCACCCGCACCCACACC